CCATTCGAACGACATGACCAACCCATTGAAGACAACTTTTCATAACAATGGATTCAATACTTGGTAGTCAAGTTTTCTTTAATACTTCTGTATCTGAGATATGGAACTGCCATCCAATACAAGGCAACTGTCGCAGATGGAAGCACTCAAGAGCCACACACACACACACACACACACACACACACACACACATATATATATATATATATATATATGAAGAAATATAGTTTTAAGATGTGCTATATTTATGAGATAAAGTGCTCAATATCAGAGATAGAGCGTGTGTAAATATAAAAGTGAACTTAGAGGCGACAGTCTGTTTCATGCAAGATGCAATCGGTGGCCTGACGATTGCATCTAGCATGAAACAGACTGTCGCTTCTAAATGTTGACTTCTATGTTCATATATATATATATATATATATATATATATATATATATTATATATATAATATTATAATGATGGCCTATGTTCCGATATATTGTGACATGAAAAAATAACTCATCCACCTCCACACTCTGAGCTTTTTCTATTTAGCGTAGGTCTAACATTTAATTGGTTAATTAAGAGATACCCACAAATCTATTTTTAATTCTGATCCCCCCCTTAACCTTCAAAAAAGAGGTAACACTTTGTTTTTAAATTTCCATAAAAATCATTTAATCACCAGTTACTTACCATCGTCTGAAGAAGTACAATCATAGCATTGAAACATAAAAGCTTTTAGCAGCGATTTCAACGTATTTTTATTATAATCGTAATATAATAATAATAATAATAATAATAATAATAATATATATATATATATATATATATATATATATATATATATATTCAAATTTATAACATATGCATGTTGTAAGATTACTATAAGGTTTCAATTTTGTTTCAACACTTCTGGTGTCTTATCAAGTGTTCATCACTTGATTAGACACCAGCTGTGTCGGAACAAAGTTGCAACTTTTGCAGTAATCTTATACATATGCTATAAATTTGAATAAATATTATTAGTTCTACTCAGTATAGAGCACTCTTTTAAGAATAGTGTTTTTTTTTTTATTGGAATTTTATTCCATGTGTACCAACCCTGTACTTTATTACATTAAATGCTCTTTTGTCTTATATAAATATATATACACACACACATATATATATATATATATATATATATATATATATATATATGTGTGTGTGTGTGTGTGTGTGTGTGTGTGTGTGTAAAGACAGGTTTCGTTAAATAATTTAGACACGTTCTAAATACTTACTCTGTATTTAACAATACCCTGATGATGACATTATGCTATGTCGAAAGTAATCGGAATAATACAGTATGGGCCAACACGGCGTTTTCCTCTGGTCTTAAACAACCGCACAAGAAAGCTTATTCAGGGATATATAAGGATCCTATCGAAAATAAGTAGACAGAACGTGTCTAAATTATTTAACGAAACCAGTCTTAATGAAAATATGCTGCCGAAATATACCCATTCATATATATATATATATATATATATATAAAATTATTTATTAAAAAATTATAGCATAAATATGTTATAAAATCACTACAAAAATAGCCATTTTGTTTCAATACTTCTGGTGTCTTATCAAGTGATGATGTTGAATGTAGAATAAAGGGTTATTCAACACCATCACTTGATAAAACACCAGAAGTGATGAAACAAAATGGCTATTTTTGTAGTGATTTTATAACATATTTATGCTATAATTTTCGAATAAATAATTATATTTGCTCTACTAATATTGAGCTCTCTTTTAAGAATAGTAATTGTTGGTTATTGAATTTATTCCGTATACACCAATCCTATACTTGTATATATATATATATATATATATATATATATATATATATATATATATATATTTGAAGGTTGACTGTATTTGTGACTGAGTGTTCATAGGTTCTCTATCAAAATTGTCTGATGGACAAGGTTGTATTGTTTTTAACGAGATATCCATTGAAGTAATTCTAGTCTGGTACAAGTTCGAAATAGATGGCTCCCAGCGGTATCGAACTTCCTTGCAATGTCTTACGATACTCAGGTGCAATGCTTTGTTTTTGGCAGACACCCATTTTATCTATGTGTCTATCGCTTGAGACCTAGCCTCAGATGATCAACACCCTCTCTGAGTTATTGTAGCCAAACCTTTTTGCAACGGGTCGTAACCACCTTAGATAGAAACAGCAGCCCGCAATAGGGCGAGAGAGGCAATGGCGTCAACGGTTTCTTTATTATTATTATTATTATTATTATTGTTTGGTGGGGTACCCCGCCATAAGCAACAAGCGGAACATCTCTGATGTAGGTAGTCGGACTTTAATTACTTTTCTTTTTGTTATTGTCGTTTTGTCTACACGATTTCTGTTAATCTTTTTTTCTTTCGTCTTAACTTTAGAGTTTGCGCTTCTTTTGAAGATGTTAAGGTTACACGCCATGTTTATTGATGTCATACAACTACGCGACGACTATTAATAATAATCAGTTACAGACTTCAAAGGCTAATTTGTAGTCGAGGATATCACAGAGCGAGCACATAATAATAATAATAATAATAAATAGAGTTCACCCAGTTTCAAGGCTTGAGAGTCGCTCCAGATAGAGGGTTACTGTTACAATGGTTCTGGTGAATGAGGTGTGTGACATGAATTTAAGAGGTGTGGATAGGAACTGAAGATTATGGGGATATAAGGAGGTGTAGATAACGCTAGATTGTTGATTTGAAAAGCTTAAGACTGTCGTGTCCCGGAAAGCATCCACGTGGCTACCTGTTTCACAAAGTAGCAGTCCCCGTGGGAAAAAAAAGCTGTGTGTTTGGAGGTTTCTTTTTGAACGACAATCGATCAGTAAGTTGGCAGCGTGACACGTAGTTTTTAGCTGAATTATGACCGAAAAAGGTGACAACCATTAGAAGAAGAAATATCTTGATTTGGCCGCGGGGGATTTTTGCTCCTCTCCAACTTCTGATTTCTTGTAGCTCAAAATAATGGCTGTTTCTTTACTACCCTCTCAGATCTTGGTCTGTCATCTATTTATTTATCCAATGCCGTTAGGTATTTTAATCATAGTTTCCCTCTGTACGTCTTACCATCAAAATATATACAAGGAAAGCCATATACTCCAAGCTCTATTTGTATGTCAACGCATGAAATACCTAGCGGCCTTAAGCAAGTGGATGCCAGAACGTGGCAGAGAGCTGCAAGGGATAGAGGGAGGTGGAGAGCTACGATCGCCTACGTGTTGAAAGGACACAGTACACAGAAAGAAAGAAAATTAACAATTTTCTTTTTTTTTTTTGTATTTGAGAATTATTTTTCTTTTTCTTAAAAGAACGATAGAAAAAGTTACGGGTTTTCTTTTGAATTTACAATTAAAAATCGATTTTTTTTTGGTTAACGGCACATCGACTCCTTCTGGGTCATTTAATGCCGTAATTTTATCTTCTTGTGAGTTTTGGAAATTTCCTTTTCTTCCAAAAATGTATTTTTGGTAATTTTTTCTAGTGTATTTTATATTTTCATGCTTTGAACCCAGTTGAAGTGATCACTATTTGCCCTTAACTAGGACCGTAACAGATGCTACTAACACCCTGGGTTCCTACGCTCATCAAAAGCTCCCGATCAGGGGCCTGATTGCTGGATGGAGTTTATCGTCATACCAAGGACGTAACAATCCATTTAAAAATAAGTCAGTTTTGACAATTTAAAAAAAAAAAGGGCGTTTTCTTTTGATAGTTAGATATTGACTGTTCCGAAGAATTTTTTCTTTTTTCTGCGAACATTTGAGCACATTTGGACACATAGCCAAAATGCGTGTTGCGTACGCATGCGCCAGAGTGAAACGTTTACATGAAAGAAAACTGCAGCTGCCTCAATAAAATCAAAAGAAATTTTTATGAATGAAATCAGTTCAAACTAAACGCTTCCGATGCCACCTGACGCACACACGTTTTGGCTACCTCACGATTTTTGTTGTTTAATGGCTGAAAAAAAAATCGGTTAGAGGAGAAATTTCTCATGCTGTTGTCAAGTTCTTAGAGATATTGTTTTTTTGCTGGGTGGGGACAAATATGGTGGTGTTGTTATTAATAATGATGATGATGATGATATTTTAGCTGGGCTGATGTTAGCATTATCGATAGCCGTGGTTAATACTGAAGCTCGAGTTTATTGCGAGTAAGGGCGATTATGGAGCGTTTTTTTTTGTGCTTTACTAATGATGTTGTTTTTGGCAGAAGCTGCGTTTGAAAAGGTGAACAATGGTTAGCGCTGGTGATTCTGACGGTAAGTTCTCTTCTAATGGCTGGCCTGTTGGCAATGGTAGCGGGGGTGGGAGCAGTTAAGCGGGTAGAGACATGAGATTGAGGCAGACTGATTGTCTATGGGGAAATAAGGATAAAAAAAAAGAAAAACAAATTACAAGAACATCTATTTCGGCATTACATATCTATCTGCCAATCGAAATACCTACAAACATACCTGTATGTATGTGCGTGTATATATGTGTGTGTGTGTGTTTGTGTGTGTATGTGTATATGTGTGTGTGTATATATATATATATAAATATATATATATGTTTATATATGTATATATGTGTATATTTTATGTATATATATATATATATATATATTTGTGTGTGTGTGTGTGTGATTGTGTGTATGTACAGTTACATAATTATACATGATTTTTAGTATGTATGTGCTAATAAATTTTTATTTTCACACACTCATGTATAGCACATATACACATATATACAATCACATTAATGTGTGTATATATATATATATATATATATGAATATATATATATAAAAACTTATCAGTATTTGAAAAACACTGATACATTATATATATATATATATATATATATATCCGTGTATGTATTTTATGCTACTTTTCACCCAATACAAGGCGCAAGAGCCGATCAATGTAGAGGGTTAATGAATAAGGCGTAACGAAGGAAGTAAGCATCACATATGAGAGGCTTGCGGTCACATCACGTTGAAACACCGGTTCCTGTACGATCACTGAAGTTAAGCAACGTCGAGTCCAGTCAGTACCTAAATGGGTGATCCTTTGGGAATACCAGTTGCTGTAACCTTGGTTGTGTGGGTGTTGTGATGGATAATAACACGGAATTGTTAATCGGAGAGCCGAGTTGCATTTTCCCGTTGCTTTCGTTATAATCACTTACTCACAAATAAACTTTATATATCCATATATACGCGTATAAGGAACCCTCATTAATTACACCCTTCCATTGCCTGAAGGTGAGGCAATACCTACTTTCTCTATAAGGTATGATTGAACCTTTTTCTTAAATGTTACTTCAATGTTTTTCTCATGTTTTCATTGCATTGAATGAAGATAAAACGGCCAAGAGGTAGTATATCGCTCGGTACGACGTAGTCTTGCTGAAATAGGTAGTAAGCAGATAAGCTAGACCTCTAACTCTCTACTACTTTACTCCTTCCACTGACGATTCTTGGCATCAGTCTATATATATTTGGACGAGTCCAAGTCCTTTTCTGGAGAGGGGTGTTTATCTCCACAAAACCGCCGTTTTTAAATATGCATTTTCTTTAGTCGATACTTTTTTCGACATGGGTCCACTTCCAACGTTTCAGTCGAATTACGTTTTCGTTTACTCTGACGTTGTATTGTAGTTTCAGTTGTAGGAATAGGTACTTTAAAAGTATCGTAAAGTATGTCCATCAGTAAATTAATTTGTACTAGTTGCTTATTCTGTGCACATCTAAACCTCAATTGATTTATATGTCCCTTTTGACGAAATCGTCCACCTTCGACAATGTACATCAAAAGCGCTGAATAATTTTTTCTTCCTGTCAGTTTTTTTTTCCGGCCTTAAAGCTTTTAAAGAAAACTTTATCGCCTATCTTAAATGATCTGGTAGTTTGAAATTGTCGAACTTTTTTCTTAAACCCTGACAGTAATTTGTCAAAAATGGATTTAACTTTCCTAGCAACCATGAGCTCTTCTGGTGACGTGTGCATTTGACGTCATTCGATACACGTTCGAAGGTTCTTGTAGTGCAGTTTCTTCAGCCTACAAGCCGTTAGCTTTTCTTAATGCCCTTTTGAAGGTGTCAACAAACCATTTCGCTTGACCATTCGACCCCGGATGATGAATCAGCGTTGTCAAATGTTCAATGGCGTAGCTTTTACAGAAATTTTAAAACTCACTAGAAGCAAACTGGGGTACTCCAAACCTTGCGAAAAGTTCACGAAAGAATTTAATAGTTACTGCGGTAGTTGGCTGTTTACAGTTTAATATCTCGAGCCATTTTTTTGAAACTGTCGACCACAATAAAATAATATGAACCATTTAGTGGTCCGGCAAAGTCCATATGTAGTCTTGCCCACGATTTATCATTGCTCGGCCATGTCTGATAATTTATAGGTTGTGATTTTGCTGCTGAATTACAACCATTTTCTAACTGTATTTTGGATGTCTCTAAAACCTTGACCAATAAACGTATCTTCTAATCAATCACTTCACTATCACTATTCCCAAATGTTCTATGTGGAATTATTTTAAAATCATTTTTGTAGTGATAACGGAATTACAACTCTATCAGCGTACTCCATCACAAATAGAAAATGCTGTATTATTGTTAGCAGGCTTCATCTTAGTTTCACTCGATTTTGACTTAAAATCATTCATAGTTTTTTGAATAAACGAGTTGTTTTTGGAATGAATTTTGATATCATCTATTGTGGCAGGGTTTAATAGTTTTACACACTAGGCTTTTAATTTTGCTTTCGGATTACAGCGAACCAATCACAGTATCTTCATAATTTTCTTTACATTTCGATATCAATCTAGACAAGCCATTTGCGTGTTCCAATTTTGTTTTGATGATAAAAATTCCATCTTGAAATCATAGATCAACACAATCGTAGCCGAGCAGTGTAGTCTGTTTGCAGTACGTGTAGGAATCCCATTTCTTAGAACCAAATATTCTAAATAATAGACGATGATGAATTTTCCTCCTAATATCATCCTGTAAATTTTTTTTTTACAGTAAAAAGTATTGCAAGCGTTTCCTTTTCAATTTGATTGTAGCATTTGTCAAACTTCTTGAAGCGTGGGCAAGTGCTTTCACTCTACCGTCTTCGAATTTATGGCCTATTTCCTCTTCTATGCCGTATTCACTCGCGTCCGGTGCTAATATTATATCCCGGTGCGGATCGTAATGTGTCAACGAAAACTCTGAATTGTTTAATCCCTTCGAAAGCTTTTGGGCATTCCGACAAACAATTCCATTTCGTACGTTTTTTAAGTAAATTATTCAGAGGGGCTCGAAATCTGTGCATCTTTGGCACATAAATATGATTATTCGCTAATCCATGAAATGATCGTAGGGTAACCAAATTTGTTGGGAGAAGCATGCCTTTAATGGCACTTGCTCGAGCGGGATCTGGTCGTCTTCTTTTTTATCGGACCTAAATATTTAAACTTTTCCAGAAAGAATTGACATTTCTGTTCATTGAATTTTAAACCGTATTCATGTAGTCTCTTAAATACTTCCTGAATCAGTTTTAGGTGTTGTATTGTCGTAGCACTCTATGTAAGTGACAACACCGTCTACTCCAGTCAACATCATAGGAAAAGACCTGGGTCTTCTTTTACAACAAAGGGTAATCTTTTAAACTTGTAGATTTCTTTATGCATATTAATATTCAGAAACTTCTGCCATTTCTCATTCACTTCGATTTGAACATATGTCTAAGAACGGCCAAGTTTTGAAAAAAAAAAATACCACCATTTAATTTGGCAAATTCTCTAGAATTGGTAGAGAATATGCATGTGATAGGAGACAGTCATTCAATCCAGTTGAAAAATCTACACATAAATAAATCTTATTTTTCTTTCTAATATAATCATCTGGCGTGGCCCATTCTGAATAACATATTTTTTCAATGACCCCTTGGTTTCCTAACCTGTCCAGTTCCGTGGTAATAGACTCCAATGCAGTAAAGGGTAGCTTTCTTTTAGGCTTAAACACTGCTATCACATTTTCTTTCAATTTAAAAAAAAAAATGCCTTTGACTTTGTACAAGATTCCCAACTCCTCTGAGAAAATTTTCGTGAATTTATTTTTTTAGTTAACTCAGTGTTTCTCTAGCTGTAATCTTTTTCTCTGATGAACAATCAATCTTTCCACAGAATAAATTAATCGGCCAATTCCATAATTCAAATATTTCTAGCCAATCGACGCCTAGTAAATTCGAGTTGGAAATTTTTAATACGTAAACACCTGCTTCTTAAGTTTTACCCACAAGAGCAATGTTACAAGTGATTTTGCCAAGAAAAATTAATCTCCTGCTCGATATTCCTCTTGCAACTCCGTCAGTTTTTCTCAAGTTTCAAGTGCCAATTCGAATGCAAGTTTGTTCCTCAATATTTGTAATATCGCTACCAGTGTCCAATTGAAATCTCACCTGAGCGTTATTCATTTTTACTCTCAAGAATTTTCTATTATTTGAGCTTTTCATTTTTTTTGTAGCACTACTTTCAGCAAGTTAATTTGTGTATTTCGTTTGCTTTGCGACTTGCAGTAACTTCGTTTGTGAACTATTTTTTCACATTTTTTGGTTTTCAATCGAGAGTCCCTTTTGAGATGAAGCATACCACAGCCATAGCATGCGTTAGGTTTTGCTGGATTTTTATTCTGGATTTCTTCTTTTGGTACTACTGCTCGATTATCGCTGTATCGTGCCTTAAATTGACAATTCTTTGGCACTCTTCCGCCACAGTCTGTATTGTTAATTTTGAATCTTGTTCACGTTTTGTAACTATTCAGGAGCATATTTCCGTACCGTTGCTTGATGTCAGACCTTTAACGAAAATTAGACATTTAAATCTGTCTGGGGATAATTCATCCAGATTAAATTTCTCACACTCATGGGTTAATTTACCAGCATATGTGATAAAATCTTCATTTTCTTCCTAAAGAAGTTTCATGACCTGCCAATGTGTCTAAAACAGACAATTCTTTTCACTAAAGATTTTCGATAATATTGACACTGCTTCGTTAATTGACAGTTTTTCTGAAGTATTAGGCAAAATGAAATTCAAATATTTTTCATGTTCAACGGGGCACAAATTTCGTAACAGAATACATAACTTCTTTTCATCCGACCATCTTTGACATTCTTCTCTGAAAATGGCCTCGTACCTTCTGATGTAAGATAGAAAGGCAATGTTTTCTCCTGGGACGTAATTAAATTCAGTAATTGAGTTAGCGACTGAGTCCGGCGAAAATGAAATTGACGCATTTTCTGTACCTAGGTTTTCCAGGATTGCTTTTATCTGTTCTTGATATTCAATCCGCTTCCGTTGTTATTTGTTGTAATAACTTCTAAATAAATATCTTCAATTCTTCCATAGAGTATGTTCGTACCAATAGTCCTTAACTAGGAACAAAAAGATTTTGTTTTCCTGATAGCCGTATATCATACAGTCTTGAAGTTTATCGACTTTCGCGTCGTGTTATGAATATAAACGAACACCACAATTTTTTTCCCATGAATTTTGAAATTCGCCGGTTGTTTATGCCAAGCGAGAGGAAACAAAAACATTTTATTTCGTGTCTATTGGAATTCTCGTCGCCACTGTTATGTTTTCATTGCACTGAATGATGGTAACCCAATCAAAAAGTAGTATGTTGCTTGAAATCGACTTAGTCTTTCTGAAATAGAGATTAAGTAGATAAGCTATATTTCTAACTTTAATTGTTTACTCGTTCGACTGACGATTCTCGGCGCCAGTCACTATATATTTGGACGAGTCAAAATCCTCTTCTGGTCAGGTGTATGCATTTCCACAACTTTTTTTTTGTTTGCTTAGGTTTTTCCTTTATTTGAATATATAACCAATATATAGGGCATATAGAATTGATTTTTCTCAGTGAACTACTCGTATATAAACATTTAAAAAGTAATTGTAGTAGAAGCGAGAGTCTATCCCATAGCTACGTCGTTAGTGTGTGTGTGTGCGCGCAAATGTTAGCTGAATAATAATAGAAATTTATTTGTTTTTCATTAATATGTATATATCATCAACATAGGAATA